TATGAGTGTGTGTGTGTGTGTAATATATATGATGATCATGTGTGTCATGGATGTGTTGGTGACATGTGTCTGAGTGTGTATACATGTCTTTGATGTATGATGTGTGTGCTGTGTGTGTGTGTGTGTGTGTGTGTGTGTGTGTGTGAGACTGGGTGAGCCCCACCTGTGGATTGTGTGCTGCTGGTTAGCACTGACCAGCCCTGGTGGCTGCCAACAGGGCATCAGCAAGAGGTCAGGCTGTGCTGCTACTTGCACTGGGCCCGCTCCTCTGTTGGGGTGCATCCGTCCCTACGTGTCTGCAGCAGCCCTTATGGGGAACCCCAGGGTCTGCTGGAGCCCAGGGCTACTACTTGGCCACCGCTCCAGGCTTGACTGCCCCTCTATTCTCCTCCAGCTCAGACCCTCCCTGGTAGGGACCAGGGGAGGACAGGCGACACCCTTCCCATGGGCTCAGATGTGGCCACCACATCGGTCGGTGTGGAAGAGGTGAGACCCCCTTCTGTAACCCTGCCCACAGCACCACGGCCACGGGAACTGCCAAGACCCAAGAGCACACTGCACCCTGGTCAGCTTCCAGTGACCTGCACAGGAAGCGCCCAGGGCCAGGTTGCCCCTCCTTCACTTTGTGACACACACACACACACACACACACATACACCCAACTCCACTCCGCCCGACTCACGGAGGGAGGCCACAATCACCCGGGAGAACTTTGCCTAACTCATCCCAGCTACACCGGCCTCCTCTCTCATTCCCAGCTGGGCCTGAGGCCCCACTCTCCAAGCCTGAAGGGGCAGAAAGGGGAGCCTGGTGCCCAGGGTCTGCCTGGCCTACCTGGCCCCCAAGGCCCCGCAGGTCCAGCTGTCCAAGGCCCGGATGGCCCCGCCACACATCCTGTCCCTGGGCCACAGGGACCCCCTGGGCCACCAGGGAGGGATGGCACCCCAGGAAGAGACGGTGAGCCAGTGAGTATGCACCCCCTCCCCGCCGGGCTGCAGCAGAACAGGGTGCTGAGGGGTGGTCCCTACTGACCAGACAGAACAGCACTGGGCCCCAGGGGTCCCAGGACAGCATCACTCCCAGAGAGCAGTCTCCCGTGCAGAAGCTGGGGCTGCCCTACTGCAGAGATATTCTAAGGCCGAGAGCAGCGCGTGTCTGTGTGGAGAGATGACAGGCCTGGGGTTGGTGGTGTTCAGGCGTTAGTGATGTCCCGTGGTTTGAGGGACAGAGTAGACCCAGTGCCTGAGAGCACGTGGGTGATTGGTTTCCACTGAAGAGTCGGGCTTTGCCGGCGAGTTTTGAATATCGAATGTGTTTCCATGTCTGACTCCCAGTGGGAACAGGATGGGGGTGGGGGGCTGGGGAGAGGTTGCCTGCCTCTCATGGTCTCTCTTGCCCCCTGCAGGGAGACCCCGGTGAAGATGGAAAGAAGGTAGGTTGACTTCTGGAGCCAGATGTTGTCTGTCACATCTGCAGGAGACCTTTAGGCTTTTTGTCTTTTTTTTCTTAACCCTGTGGCTCAATACAGTGATGAGCTTTCTAAATGAAACCATTTTGAAAATGCAAGTGAAGTCTTGTTAAGAAAGTGTAACCCTCACCATTGACAGAAGAGTCCAGAGTTCGGCGTGTGTATTAACGTGTTCAAGTTCATGGCGAGGGGCTAAGGAAAGAGAAGAAAAGAGATCAAAAGTAGAGCTTTACAATGATTTAGAGCGCCGAAATGGCCCCAGAGTATTTGGGGGGAAGAGGGTGCAGTACAACAAAGAGAACGCAAGGTGGCAGCAGAATGCACACGAGGCAGCGTCACAGTGCACACCAAGTGTGCTTCGGAAAAAAGATCAACAAATACTGTTTCCAAGAAACACAGTGGAACGAAGGGCACAAGGATGCTGCCGGGTAGGATCTGGGGAATGATAACACCAGGCAAACAGTAACATCAAGCAAGCAGCCAACGGGAGTCATGGTATTAACGTAGGCAGGACGGATTCAAAATGAAACCATTGTAGAAGGACAGGGAGGGATATTTCACACGAACAGTGGAACGACCATTCCTGAGGGTTTTTGCACTGGCACACCGATGATGGGCTCTGGGAAGGAAGGAAGGAAGGAAAGGAAAGGACTGATGCACAGTCCTCGAGGGAGAATTCAGACCTGGCCCAGACGTCCATGGAGCAGGGATGTCTGTGTGGGCCGCAGAATCCAAGTGACTCAACTGGTGCACATGTCCTAATAGAGTTCATTAGAATTTCCTGTCCAATAGACAAGCTGAACACAATCAGTTCCTAGTGCTCATGGAAATTCAAACATGTTGAGTGTTTAAGCCACTGGGACCACGCACCGTTTACCCAAGTAGCAACCATGCAGGCACATTCCCTATCCACAGTGCCCTCAACAGACCTACACTGGCACACACATCGATGGGCACGCACATGCATCGGTTACCCAGTGCACACACCTGCGGGCAGCATCCCTAGGATCCAGAGAGTGCATACCTGTGCATGCTCACAAATGTGCAGATGCACACAAGCACCTCCATAACAGACAGGGGTGTCGGGATTTATTGAGGGCATTGATGGAGATGCCACATCCAATATGGTGGCATGCCCACACACCCCTGGGCAGTTTTGAAGCTGCAGACATGCATATCTGGAGGCCTCACCCTGTGGCGAATGGCACCGTGTCTCCTTTTGGGTTCCCTGTGCCTCCGTCTGGGCCAGGCCAAGTGCAAACAGGCGGTGTTGGAGCCCCGGGGCAGGAGGAGGCCTGGGGCCACAGAACAGCTAGTCCTCCACTGACCCTGCTGCCTGCTCTGTCTTCCAGGGCGACACCGGGCCACAGGGCTTCCCAGGAACCCCAGGAGAGATGGGCCCCAAGGGCGACAAGGTAAGTGTTGACCTCACCTGGGCAGCAGCCCTTGATCCTATCTGAGCCTATGGGGCTGCGTGCCCTTGGTGCAACAGCTGCATTCTGTGTCCCCAGGGTGACCCTGGGTCCGGGCCACGTGGACCCCCTGGGCCCCAGGGGCCTCCAGGGCCTCCGGGACCCTCGTTCAGACCAGACAAGCTGGTGAGTCTCACGTCGGGCACCCTGCGCGGGGCTCTTCCCGACACCCACCCATGGAGGGGACTTGTCCGGCTCCTCTATGCCATGTTCCCTGCACCCAGGAGCGAAGTTTGCCAGTGGTGCTATTACCCGGGTGCGGCTCCAACCTGCAGATGCCCACAGGCCTCTGGGCCAGCCCTGGGGCCTCAGACAGGGTGGGAGCAGCAGGGGTACCCTTGCCCCTCCTCCAGTCACTTCTGTGTCCCTTAGGCTCTCCTCATCCCAGAAGTGGGGGACTCTGCCGCCAGGGTGGGGTGTTTGGGGCCGGGCCCTGCGGTGGGTCTGTAACCCCAACCTCCTGCTGACTCACCTCTCCGGGCCCTTTCCCCTCAGACCTTCATCGACATGGAGGGGTCCGGGTTTGGTGGCGACATGGAGACCCTCAGGGTGAGTATCCCCCCATGGAGGAAGTGTGTGTAGAAAGGGCTGCCTGCCCCACAGGGCCCCCGCAGGGATCCTTTGGGGCAGTGATACGTCTGTGAGAGTTGAGGGCGTCGCTCTGTTTGCTGTGTGTGGTGACCACTCTGTCTGTCCATGTTCAGGGTCCAAGAGGTTTCCCCGGGCCCCCAGGGCCCCCAGGGGTCCCAGGTCTGCCCGGTGAGCCGGGCCGCTTTGGGGTGAACAGTTCGGACATCCCAGGGCCTGCAGGCCTCCCAGGTGTGCCTGGACGAGAGGGACCCCCTGGCCAGCCCGGCCCCCAAGTAAGTGTTTCTCCCACCTTCCACCTCTTGAGCTCCCCTAGGCCTTCTGGAGTGGGCGTGGGGCATCCACACCCAGCAGCCGTGCACAGCAGCTGCCTCGCGGGCACCAGCCTGCTGGTCCCTCCATCTTCCCGTCTGACCAGCAACTCAAAGAGCAGTGCAAGATAAGGCTTTGGGGGAAAGCTGCTCCGCTCGGATCAGAGTCTCCTAGAGCCTCCTGACTCCCCTGCGTCCTTGCTTCTGGCGGACAGCCAGCTCGCTAGCTCCTGACTCGTAATGCCTGTCTAGCCGCCTTGCTTTTCTCGTCCCCAGGGACCCCCGGGCCCTCCAGGAAAACAGGGGCAGCGAGGACAGGATGGCCAGAAAGGAAGCCTCGTAAGTCCTCCCCACCCCCACCCCAACCCCCACCCCACCAGGATGCACGTGGCCAACGCTGCATGGCAGTAGCCAGATGGTAGCTAACCCTGGTCTGGGGGTCTGGCCAGGACACCTCTTGAAAGAGAAAAGCTGTAAGGTGCCAGCACCAGAGCCTAAGGCTAAAGGTAGCTTTCCTTCAAAAGCAGCCGATGTTGTCTTCGTCAGCACCCAAGGCCCCTGGGGCTTCGGCCCCCGCAGCTCACTTAGAACTGCAGCTAGCTGGGGCGCTCGCAAACCTTCCTTCGACCAGTCGTCGTCAGCAGCTTGTCTCCGGCTATCCCACCCAGAGACTCTCGATAAGACCAGGAGCTCAGTAGCAATGGCTGTTTCATGATAAAAATTAGACTAACTCGGATTCGGAGTAATGCTGACATTGCCCACGATTTGAGCGTGGCGTGTCACGTTGCACACTGTTTGGGTTGGATCGGTAAGAGGCCGCACAGATCTCTGACTGGGGCTCCCAGCCACAGTTCCCTGTGGGTTTTCTGGGGCCTCCGGGAGTGCGCACATGTGGCTGGTGGAGGTGAGGCTGGGTTGACCTTGAATGAGGACCAGACCATTTCTGGCTGAGCAGCAGGAGCTAAACGAACCCTTCAGTGCTCACTCCGCTCTGATATCTGGAGACAATGGAGTTCAGAGAACAGATCCATTTGGGTCAAATGTGTCCCTGCCTCACCCTGTGCAGGGAGCCATAGGTTCCACAGGAAGGCCTCCCGGGGCTGGCTCCCGTGCCAGCACTGCCTGCTGGTCTTGCTGGAAGCTAAGGAGCTGGGGTGCATCCCTACCTCCCCGGAGGTCCCGTTCTGCACGAGACAAGCCTCAGAGTTTACACCCATGTCTCCAGGAGGCTAGAAAGGCAGTACCGCTGGGCCAGAGTGAAAGCGGGGGGCTCAGGGCACAGCCAACCCAATCCTGCAGTCATTCCTCTGTATTGTTCCACAGGGTGAAGCGGGCGCCCCAGGACCTAAGGTACATAAACCGCTCTCATGACCTGTTCTGCCGGG